ATTGCTGCTAACCGCAATGTTAGGTCGATGAGCTTCTCAATTAGAGCAACAACGTTTTTGTCATCTTGCCACATGTTAGAAGATATGTAAACGAGATCGTCAAATTCCATATCCTGATAAAATCGTCAGTATCAGTGCTTCGACTTAGGAGCAGCTACTTACTTCGTAAAATGTTGGTTGCTGCATTACTTTGACTAACAACCTAAGCACAGTTACTGCGAATAGTGAATCCTGCGATGCACGATTGGCTATTTTCGATCTCCAATTTTTCCATGAAGACATGATGCGCTTTCGCCGCCCTTTCGTCAAGGCTTCGCGTGGGAAGTCTAAGAGAATCGAAAGCATCGAGAGGCCCCGCGGTTGCGTCCAGCCTGGCTGATTTCCTGTATCGTCAAGGCTATCAAGTGGCTTTGATATGAGAGAATCAATCAACGCTTCATCATCTTCGCAATCGAAGTTATGCAGGAGGGGCCGTAGAGCGTCGCTAAGGAGCGTGTCCTTATCAACTATAAAATGCTGTTCGGTCTGCCAAAACATATCTACAATGAGATCTCTGAGGTCAGCGGCGTCTCTTTTCGGTATATCGGCAAGCCTTGGTAGGAATCTAAACACATAGTCTACGTAAGGCCGTGATACAGAGGAATCGACGTTGGTTTTCATTTCAGAGATGACTCTTTCAAGAAATGAACGCGTGAGTTTAGCAAGATCCGCGTGATGCTTGCCTCCCGGGTAGTTAGCCAACCAGACATTGTAAGAATAGCCGAATGCTTCAAAGGTCTCAGGGTCAGATAGAAGACCCTTCCTTAGAATGCGCTTGAGAGCCGATTTCAACTCAACCCAAAGCCGATCAACCTCTTCTGACGTCTCCCAAGAAGCCATACGGCCGGCAATACGCCATCTTAATGACAAAATCGAAGACGGAATATCCTTGTAATTCTTGTCTTCAAAAAGCGCAGAAAAAATCTTCGAATCAGCACTCCTAATGAAATCCTCTTCGGTGATTCCCGCTGAGATCCCATCAAGGACAACTAAGAGCGCCCCGCTAAGAGCGTCTGATGAATCCAGGCGCTCTAAGACACGGAGCAACTGTGTGCTAGTTAACGTGCTTTGCAAAATCCTAGCCAAATGATGTCGAACTTCGGCATCAACCCATATTGATTGGCTCAACGAGTCGGCAGCACTCTCACTAAGACATTCATACCATTTCTGGATAAATCCTGAGAAGTTTCGCGCTTTTGCGAAGGCGTCTTCTAAGGGAAGAATAACATCTCTGACAACAGTTTCTCTTGTAATAAGATCATGGCTTGAAATAGAACTTATTCTGTTGAAAACACCCTCAATTAGAGAATCATCCGTGAGGAACACATCAGCATCACAGGCAAGAGCCTTAGAAATTAGTTTCCAGTCAGTTTCATCCGTTCCAAGCGCATGTTCTCGACACACGGTCCGTAGAGATGTGGTGTTTGGAACCGAGTTTGCCTGGATAGCCGTATCTAATAGTTGAATGATGATTTGATTTCGAACTAAAGGTTCCAAAGGTTGGATAGCTTTGAGTAAGACCGTAAAGACGTTCTGAGCCCATAACGTGTGCTCAGCTTTCGATTTCGGATTACTCGAATCTCGGGGCGTCCTTGCTGCTACGTCCCATGTAACGATGGCGGAGCCGCCTAAGTTTCTCTTTGCAAGGTCCAGAGAGGCCTCTATTACCTCAACATTTTCGTCTGTCGCGAACGTATGCCTTGCAGGGCGAATGAAGTATGCATTCAAGAACCGCTCGAGCTGTCGAATCCAGAGTCTCCTAGCCCCATCGTCAGTCACTTCCACAGGCGTCACCCCAGCAAGGCCACGTAGCCTCGTCAGAATAGAACATATAGGCACATATATATGTCTGGCAAACTCAAGGCTGTCGTCTTTATTATGAACGCGGAGGTTCCAGAGAGTAGTGATAATCCCGACCCATGATTCTTGATCTCCGGAAAGGCCATGTTCGAGAATGCCCAGTGAGCGATCGCAGGTCAGAAGTAGCCCTGCAGCGATATCCCTGGTTTCTTCGTTAGATGAAGAGAAGAGCGATTTTATATGCTCGGCTCCGACTCTTCGTTCTGAAGCATTAAGTCCTATGCGATGAGCTCCCTGATCAAGGAGACTACCTAAAGCCCCAAACAATTCAGCAGCCGACTTTATGCAACCTTGCGGAGTACGAAGCTCCTCGATGTCGGAAGGAAATCCGTCGTCTCTCTTCCTCTTTTTCGGTTTATCTGAGGTAATTCCATTCGTCTGAGTTGACGATACATGAGAAGGTTTTCGAGCCGTGGTGATATCGTTTATGGTCTGATGCAGAATAGAGACGAATCTAAGAGAGGCGAGCGACCTTCCCAGTGTTTGCGGCGGGATCTTGGAAAATACATGGTTCAAAAGAGACCAGGTAAGAGGATACCGTCGGACCTGTTCAGCATCCTCGGTCTTGCCGCTCATATTCTTGAATAGCCATCGTAATATATTTTCTTCTACACCATGGAATCTTGTACCCTTTGTCGCTGAAAGTAAAACCCAAAGTCTACGGATTTTGTCGGGTAGCGCAATCGTTCCATCTTCATCGAGAGATCTTACAGCTTTGATTAGAGCAAGCCGACGCGACTAGATGTTATGTATTAGTTCTAAATGTGTTGTATTTATTGTATGAAAGCGCACGGCATATAAATTCAGCTTACCCTTAAGTCACTATCCACCTCCATCTTGTAATTGAACCACTATTAGCATTGCCAGGTGCTTGAATGCTATATTATAAGCTGTCGCGACACTCGAGGTATGCAGTAAGTTAAAAGCTTCCAACTTTTTTTTGTGGAACTCCCCACGATCTCCAAAATATCACAAATTCTGCCGCTATTACTAACCTAATAAGGAATTATATGTATTCACCGCCTTCGGGTACCAGGGAACACAAGCCGATCAAGCTGCGTCAATGACCTGATTGCTTTTGTGCCGAAAGAGAATATTTGTCGAAATAACGATAGTTCAGCCAAACCCTCTAAGAAATACACAAGAAATACACAAGAAATACCCAATTTCGAATGTATGAGCTCATTAACCTTTCAATCCCCTAGTTAATTGAAACTAATACTTTCTTATTCTAGTCCTTAACACCATGTCGGACGGCTCGGTCCCTGCGCCGCCTAGCACGGTCTCTAGGCCTGTGAGCGAGGCACTTTTGAACGAGAAGGTATGATACTACTACTCTTAGTCTCAGTCTACCGTTGTCGCATAAGGGTCGCTAATACGAGGGTATAATAGTGGGACCGCTGCATTTCCAATATGCTCATAAAGTCATCGCTCGGTCTCGGATTCGGTGTCGTCTTCTCAGTTCTCTTATTCCGACGAAGAGCGTGGCCCGCATTTGTGGGAGTGGGTTTCGGCGCTGGCAGGGCCTACGAGGAGTGCAACTGGAGCTTGAAGCAAGCATCACAGGAGCTGAAGAGGAAAGCATGAAGGGAAGCTGGATGGTAGCTTTAGAGGGGATCATCTCGACGAAAAACACATTCGCGAGCGTTACTACACCTGTACAACAGAAACAACACCAATAGACGGCCTGACCACCTAGAGATGGGCGTAATTGGAACGAGCTCATTCATCGAAAAAAGAAAGACTTACTTATTACGCATTAATAAAGCAGGGGGGGCTAAACACGATCTTCCGGGACTCTCTGTACCCATATCAAACGCTTTAGGGGGGGGGACGCATATAATGAATGATTGGAAACCCTGGCAGGCCGTAGGAGCGCTATTCTTCAACCAAGCCCCCGTCCTCTGCATCCAAGATTTACTCATCGATGTCACTAGCAGTGCTTGTCCCTCACAGCTCTTCAACGTCCACCGACCGCTGAAACAGGCGTAGGATCCTGCGATTTGTCCTATGCCGGACCTTCAGTTCCTCCTCTAGACAGACAGCACATCCGCTGTCCGGCATGTTCTGCGTAAAAAAGAACCACTACCCTTAGTTCCACTGCTTTCCGTATTACCAAGAACCGCCTCCTCGTCTAACCTGTGTGGGGGGTGCGTTGTTCTCCTAAGCTCGCATGCATCCCTCTCAATGCTAGTAGCAAGATCTGTGGTCTTGTGCCAGGCCGATTTGATAAGATCTTCCGCCGATACTTTTCTCAACTTAGATAAGAGGGACCTATCTTCTTTTGGGGGTCGTTCCTCCGGTATGTGGCAGCACTCCAGGTCCATATTCCGGGTTGCTTTGCCTCCTTTCGTAGCTAAGGATCTAATGCCCACTCGTATACCTACCAAGAGAAGCCATCCCATAAGCAGGACTAGGAAACATATTCCCAAAGCCAGGCCATAAATCTCGCTGAGGGAGGCAGGTCGTACACCCAAGGGGTATGAGAATGTAGTGTGTTGGAAGATATGTGGCGACGCTGGGGTCTGAGGGAGCATCGTCTGCTGCAAAGCCCGCGCAGGACCATCATCATAGCTCGAGTAATGCACCATAGTGAAGGCCGGGGCCGATATAGCGTCCCTTTCCTTTTGATATTGCCGGCTATGACTGATTACTCTATGATAAAATGTGCTAGTGGTTGTGTTTCGTCTTTTGGCTTGGCGACAAAATGCGCCGCGAAGTTGCCTAGATTGTTTAGTTGTCATCACGAGATGCCACCGCTATTAAAGGGTACTTTACTGTGGAAGGGTTTTGCAATAACGATATCAAGAGGATATTTGTAGCCGAGCAATAGCTTTGTACAAATAGTCAAATGGATAAGACATTAATTTCTGCTTGATACCGGGCTGGGACAATGTCCAAGATAAGTACGTCAGGAACAGCCTGTTTGTGGAAGTGTGACGATATTTTGACAACGGATGTTAATAAGATATTGCTCATTAGCTGACTATGCCGCAAGAGGTTGAACAATAGACAAACGCACATAGTCATTGATCGTTAACCTTTCTTATTTTAGCAATTGCCAGGACAAACTCTCGTGTAAGCAGGTCCTTACGTGGAAGGTAGAAAGGACCTCAAGAGCAACAATGTAGAGATGTTAGTGGAACTTTCGGTCTGAATCGCAACTTACAACGCATGTGTGGTAAGACTCTTAATCAGTTACTGCCCACAAGGAAACAGCATGAACTAGGGGGCCAACAACAATATATTCATCATGAAAACCGATATGGTAAACGCTGCTCTTATTTTATACATCATATAAACAAGATAGGTATAAAATTTCCTTATAAAACATCTCACCAGATGGGCTAAACCCTAATGTAATGGAAGGCTTGTGGGATAAAAAGTGAAAAGTGACTTGAAAAGGAAACTTTCATTGATTTCACCTCTTCAGTTTCTTAGCAAACCTATCCATCGGACCTTCCTTAACCACTATGTCCTGATTTGTGTGCTTGAGTTCGCCCTTTCCACTTCCCTCTTGGATGTCACTAGAACCTTCCATTTCTGTTTCACCGACCTTCTCAAATAATCCCCTCCATGTCCCGTCCTTGACTTTGCTATCATTTCCATATAGCCCAATAGAATATGCCCTCTTCATTGCAGCAATGCATGCGCTTCTCCTCTCTCCAAAGTCAAACATCGGAGTTGGATAATGTCCATCCGTTCTCTCGTGGAGTCCGTCTCCTTTAATTTTCACACCGGCTTCGTCCAGTGTTGCTTCACTAGCCTTCCACGGCTCATAAATAAACTTTGCGTCTAAGTTCTTCAGCTCAGGCACCCATTTTCTTATAAATTCACCTTTCTTATCCCACTTCTGTCCGAAAGCCACGGGGCTATAGCAACGAAAGTACTGGGAGTAGAATGCAGTACAGCTCATCCATTGCCAGTTACCAGCATTGCTAGCCGGTTCGTGGTCGATCAGCCACTCTTCAAAAACGTCGGCTCCGCGCTCCCAATGTACATAACATCCACCTCTAGTGAGGAAACAAGCTACCATATGACGCCCCAGGTGATGAATCCATCCTTCAGCGCGTAGCTGGCGCATCAAAGCGTCAACGAACGGAAACCCAGTTACACCTGCTTTCCAACGTAGGAACCATTCCTCTGCTTGTGCAGAGTCAACATGATACTTGCCGCTAATTGCATTACTGCCTGTCTCAGTTTCCCCTACTTTTGAGGGTAAGTGCCAAGGAATAAACCGGCAGTATGCATTATTCATAGTTTGGGCTGTAATACTAGAGTTAGAAGCTTGCATGTATATTAATGGGGTCAAGAGCCACTTGGAAACATGCTCACCGAAAGGAGATCCGATTGCTGCCTGAGCCGCGAAGTACATATCCCGAAACAACAGTTGACCGGTCAGACTTTCAGGCGGTGTAGATGCTCCCTTGCCGTACCTTTCGACCAGATCTTGCGCCCGCCAATAGAAGAGGCGTGGCGAGAGTGCACCGAAGTGTAGCATCGGTGATAGGAGGGTCGTTGATTGCGGCTCGAAAGCCGCAGGACTGGTCTTCGGTTTCTGGAAAGTGGCTGCATATTTCTCGTCTGAGAAGATTTCTTCCAGTTGCTTTAGAGCAATTGTCTCACCACCACGGTGCGGTGTAGTAGCCGTGTCTTGGAACCCAAGCTCCCTAAGAGTTGCAATAGCAAAATCTCCCCTAGGTCCTGCAACGTGTGAGTAGGTCTTATCAATCTCACTCCGGTGTGGGGCATTAAGATCCGGTTCCGGCTCCGGTTTCCCTTGTTCAAAGTCTACGGGCATATCTCCTGGATCTGGAAGATACTCTGGTGTGGGTACGGGTCGAGGTATCTCTCCAACTCTCCTCCCGGCGGCTTGAAGTTGGGTAATAGACATAGTTGGCTTTCCTCCATGCTTAGCAACAACCTCATCGCTATCCCAAAGCGTACGTCCATACCGATAGATTACTTTAACGCCAGCCTTTTCTGCTAACGCCACCACGATTCTATCTCTTTCTCGGGCATAGACATCTGTATCCTTTTCAAATACTAGGTGCGTTACATTCCACGCTTTAAACAGTTTGGGGAAGAGTGTTTGCGGTGCTTCGCGCAAAACAAAAAGCTTGGACTTGGGATTGAGGTCCTGAATGGACTTTGAAAGGTCAGTCTGACAGTCGAGTCTAGTAACATTAGTGATTGGTTTCACGGATTCAACATTCGAAACCTGAAGCTCACAAGTATTGCCACCTGTTCACTCCTCCTTTGACGCGGTATACATAGTGAGGATCCCACGTAAAGATAGGCCACAAGACAACGGGATCTAGGTCAAGAGCCGCTCTTAGGGCGGGAGAATCATGTAGCCGAAGGTCTGTTCGAAACCAGTATATTACGCGCGGCTTCCCCATTGTGGGGCTTTGGCTATTGTGACTGGCTTAGAGGTGGACTATAATACCTATCCTTAATAGATGCTTGTTAAAGCTTGAATTTGTTTCGTGGGTTTGAGTGAGTCCATGATGTCAAGACATCAGCCACACCCGGACTCTTTGGCGTAGGCCGGCCCGGTACTAGAAGCCAGTATGTAAACTCTGTAATATCGAATGAATACCTAATTATAAACACAAAGTGTCGACACAGTCATTTACGTCTTAGAGGTATCACCTAATGCCATTACACAGCAAAGTTGACAATTGTCAACAAACTTGTTCGAAAACATGTAGTTAATAACTGACAGACACCTTCTCTTAAACTTTTTTGTTAACGAGACCTGGCCGAGGTTTTAATTATGGCTACGAAGTGCATTCCGTTCATACATCACCAAGTTGACGAAGCTATGTAAAATGGGGCTTGTCTACGAGTAGGTCCCTATTCGAGAAACTCTTGGTCGCCGATTCGGCCTTCTCCACGATATAGGCCCACGCTCCGCACTAACGCAGGAACCGCTAGGCTATACCATAAGTAGGTAGGTAGGGCTTTGGGGGCAGGGGCAAGAAGGTTGGAATATTTTCATATCTACATACATAGTAAGTAGAGACAACGACATTAGATCGTTAACTAGTTGGCTGCCTATCATATGGAATAGATCTGTAGGCTTATTGTTTCGCTCGTATGCAGCGAACGAATAGCTCCTTGGAATGAATCGTCTGGTTTGCTGCTGGCAATAGCGTAATAATATGCATATGAATGATCGATTCACATGCCAGCGATACACTATTGTCGTACAAGAAAGACATAACAAATTGTTCAGGTATGGTAAACTTGGTAATTACAGCCCTAGCAGGGAGAGCTATTAGGCTATAGGCATACTTTACTACAATTTGTTTTTTAGCTGCAGGTAGTTCGAGATCTGCATTTGTAAGTCGCTTTATGAACGAGAAAAAAAACCCGAAGTTATGCATAAGACTAGTTAATAGATATTGAAGATTGTTTAATTATAGCTTCAAAAAAAAAGGCTATAAACATTATAATCCCAATATTCTTAGTCATATTCAAAGTATGAAGGCAATGCCATCGCGAATGGTGGGGAGTGAAGTAAATGGGGCTATGACTGGCGTACCAATTATGACAACCGAATATATTAGTTGAACGATGAGATCTATGTACCGAGTGTAGACCATTGACGTTTGCTTGTTGCGTATCTCATGTATGTGACACGAATATGCAGGTATGGGGAAGAAACTTATATTTAGCCCTCACGTCGACGATGTGGGGCGGGAAGAGGATAAAGTTGCTATTATTGTACTGTCTACTTGGGAATTAAGGAATGCGCTAGGCCTGTATCAGGTAGCCAATACCTATCTCGGTTGTGTAGCCCCACTAAGTTGCTAACTGCAAAAGTACTAGGTTATGTAACTAACCTATGTATTTGTCGCCTTCATCCCAACGTCTGCCACGCCCACTCATTCAGACCCCCCTTGCGGGCCCTGTCCAAGTACCTTGTTTCAGACCAACCTGAATTGGACCGCAATCTGCAGGGCCTCCTTTCGCATTTTCGTTGTATCTGATCAGCGATTCTCCGAGTCTAGTAGTCAGACCTTACTGATAACCAAGATTTTTTTTTTCTCATGGCATATGTAATCCGTAATACTCCCCAATTCATCTCACCACATCCCGCTCATTTATGCCCCTTCAATGGTCATATTACCATCTATTCTTAGAATCGAACACACGACAAAATTCGACACAATTGGCCCGAGATTTGCACCAAGTTCAATCCCTCGCATGCCGATCTTTGTACTGGCAGACTGGGTGCCGACTTTCTAGGAAATAAAGTTAGGTGGGCACTGGATTGGTCTGTGGTCAAGGCGTTCCCGACAAGCTCTAACCCCCAACCCCTTGCGATAATCCACCACCCAGGCGCAAGAACTGTGGAAGAGGCTAGGGAAGAGGGAGACAAGGCAACACAAGACAGCACAAGACAGCACAAGGTTGGAATAAATTTTAGGATAAGGCATTATCGATTGCTGTTATGAAAGGGCAGACCCATATCAAAGTTCATTTAACACTGATCCGTGGGAATTGATTCCGCGGACTCTTGGAAAAATAGCAGCCATGACCAGACCCCAGATGATTCGCGCAGGTGAGTCGGATCTACATACAAGCCTGCCAGCCTCTAAAAGGGCTAAGGGGAGAAGGGGGAAATTTTGGGAAGATTATTACAATGCAACACCCGGCTGACCCCTTGTCTACAATAAAAAATTATGAATTGTTTGTTCCTTGTGGCTATGCTAATACTTTGGTCCTTTCGAATTCTACAGACACTATTGATCTACAAAGTCAAGACACGCCTTCTGCTAAGAAATACAAATCTCCTTCGTCGAACGCAGCGTCGAACGGATTACTCGCGCCGCACCAGGCTGAGACTTTGCGCGAAGTTGAAGACGATAGGGCTGGCGAGGAAGCTCGAAGTCCTAGGATCTCGTGGACCGATGGTGATAACAGTAGCGATTTGCAGCAATACGCCGAACAACTCGCGAACTCCTTGAATGGCAACAGGATGCAATCCGAAGATGCGCTCGCAATGGCGCAGAATGGAGGCGTCGTGGGGAATGGCTCCGACGATGGCGACATGGACGCCGACGCGGATGATGGCCTGGATGATGACATGATGGATAAGATTTCGAGCTCTCCTTCAATTGAAGATGGTGGGTACACCCTTCCGCCTCCTGCTTGGCCACGGCGCGTCGACTCGCTACGTCCTCTGGCCCTGCATTCCGTTTCCCTCAATTTTCCAGCACCCAGCGAGATGAGACTACCTTTACCGTGTCTCGAATCCGTTGAACACCCATCTATACAACCCCCAGATCAGCAGGCAAGCAAGGCTTCTGCTTATAAGTCAAATCGTCATCATCCTTTTCCTGGTGAGTATAACGGATCGACCGACCGCGCGAACCATACCGAAGACCCGGACGACCTGTCACTACCCGAATCCGAATCGAGCATGTAGGAAATAAACACGACGGCTCTGGCAGATGAAACAGGGCGGCATATCGAAAAAGGGGACATCGACCAACGCGTTACCTCCGAGTCAAAATCAAAGACCGTGAACTTCTCTTTGAAACGTCAATCGAGCGCACAAACCACCGAGACCGAGCTAGACGAGGAACAATTCGCCATTTCGCCATATTATCTACTTCCTTATGATGCCTCCGAAGAGGATGATGATGATTATGATTATGACAATATTTCTTTGGCCACTAATACTAGATTCCTTGATGTTGGTTGGGGTGGTAAAGACTTACAAGACTTAGAGGACATCGATTTCGAGTTCGTTTACGCTCTCCATACTTTCGTCGCTACGGTCGAGGGTCAGGCCAATGCTACCAAAGGCGACACCATGGTGCTACTAGACGATAGTAATAGTTACTGGTGGCTTGTAAGGGTGGTCAAGGATAGTAGCATAGGTATGAGCCATTGGTATATTCGAAGCCCAGCTCCAGACTCACGTTTCTTTCCCAGGATACTTACCAGCAGAACACATCGAGACGCCTACCGAAAGGCTGGCACGTCTCAACAAGCATCGGAACATTGACGTATGTAATTATTCTCAAAGAGACTAAGGATTTGACTCTAATCGCGAATTAGCTATCGGCAACAATGCTTGGCGACCAGGCAGAGAAGGCCAAGGGCACTGCTATAAAGACTGCCATAAGGAGAAGAAAGAAAACTGTCACTTTCACGGCTCCGACTTATGTTGATTATTCCGACCCCGAGTTTTCCAGTGACGAGGAGGAGGACGATAGCGAAAAGGAACTCGAAGAGCAAGGTTCACAGCAACAGAAGCAAGAGCAGAAAGGGTCTACCGATGATGTCTCAGATGATGATGAATCCGCAAAGGTGGAACCGCTCAAGCCTAAGGGTCTACAGAAACAGGTCAAATCGGATTCCACTAAGACCGATGACAAGGACAATACGCTGTCGCCTGTTCAAAATAACCGCAGGGATAGCAGCGACATTTTCGATCCTAAGGGCGAGCGGGTTACAAGGAACGGTACTGTTAGGAACACGGATTCTTTCTTTAAGGATGAGACGATAGAGACTAAGAAGATCACGTTGACTCCTGGTCTGCTACGGGATGATAACGAGCCGCGGATCTCAAGCGACTCGAAGGAGTCACTGCGGCAACGACCAAGTTTGGATAAAGAGCTTACGCCTGACAGAAATAAGGATGATAAGAAGAAGCGAGAGAAGGATAAGAAGGAGAAAGAAAAGAAGCCAAGCGCGATTCGGAGTTTCTTCTCGAGGAAGGATAAGAAAAAGTCCCTTGATGATGACGACGATTCGTTTGGCAAGAGGTCCCTGGATGCCACTGCTGAAATGACGGAGAAGGATATGGAGGAGGCGCACGTAGCCGATGCGGACCTGTCGCCTGAAAAGGCCAACGGACCTCAGCGGAACACAAGCAAACTTCAGAAAAATCAGCCCAGGACCGACCCTTCGCCCACTCGCAAACCTGCTATCGCGCCGTCACAGGCTGGTTCAGAGCGCGGTCCCATGCTGGCGTCAGAAGCCAGAAGCAACAATGTAGCGAACGTACCGCCGGCGACACTGAGGATAGTGGAGTCTGATCGGCTTGAAAGTCCAGACCGATCATCTCAGAAGAACGAGAAGGGCAGCTCGAAGTCGGCCGTCACGAAGGAAAGCAAGCCGCAGAAGGTTACCAAGGCGAAGTCAAGACTTGAACTTGATGACTTCGATTCGCCCGAGGAAGATGAAACTGCGTCACAACCAACTAGGACACCTCCGGAACTCACACAGCAGCCTCCCGAGACGAAGCAAACGCGACCAACTCTGCCGGGAGCATATCCAGATAGTTATATCAGCACTCAAACGGCGGCATCGGAGCTCAGTGACCAAACGATAAAGCCCCAACGCCCTGCCGGCGAAGAGCGGCTCTCGGAATCTCCTGTTCAGGTCTCACCCGTCATGTCATCGAACCCACCCGCTCTCATGGTCGATACTTCTAGTCAGGAAGGCCAATCTTCCCCTGCATCATCTCCATCGCCAGAGCTAGTGGATACGGAGAACAGGACTCACGGAAAGCAAGACTCGGTGGCGACATCGACGTCAGCAGCGACTACGCCGACTTGGAACGACGCCAGCCTTCGCGCATTCTTCGACTCGGGCTCCGATATCCGGGATCTGCTGGTCATCGTCTACGACAAGAACGACGTGACGCCCGCGGGCCCCGAACATCCTGTTATTGGCTCTCTGTTCCGTGAGCAGAACGCAAGATTAGCTGAAATTACGACGGTGAGTTTCCACACGGTTTTTAATAGTTAATAGTGTCTGTTGACTTTGGACTAACGATTATGTAGCAATTGGATAATATGCTTGGGGACTGGTTAGCCCGCAAGCAACGCCTTCGAGGCACGGTGTAGACCGTTGCCGTATTCTTCGTTTCACAAGTATTCGCATGAGGCCGGCGTTTCTCCATCGCGTTACTCTGTTGATTGTATAGGCTACAAATCGTGTTCGTGTTTTTTTCATCTTGATCTGATTCATCTTCACTTCTCGGCCGACCTTTTTCTGTTTATTTTAGTTTTTTTTTTTTTGCCCTCTTCTTTTGCGGCACCCCCAACCTTTAACAACAACATCATCATCGGTGTAGGGCGCTCGGAGTAAAGAAGATTCGCTTGTGTATCTTTGATTTTTGATTTTTGTCGCGTCTTATGTAACACCTCATCCCGGTGCGGGCGGTTCAGGGGCGAAGAATGGGAGACGCGGGAGAGTTTCTAAATACCATACCATCCATCGTTCATCTTCATCATGACGAAATACCATACCATACCATACCAATACCTATCTGGGAATCTTGTTTTTTGTTTTTTCTGATTAGGTACATACCCATATCCCTCTCTTTTGTACGTCCGGGTCTGTTCCAACACCAATGTCCGTCCAATCATCGTCTACGAAGTCTACTGCCCGAGCCGAGCCGACGACACGGTGTGTGCGTGTGTTTTTTTTTTTGCGATCTTGCGAGTTTGTTTCCTCCCGAACGATTGTGGTGAGGAATGGAAAGTGATGGTTGCATACAAAGTTTTCATCATCCCCGGCCCTTGGGGGCGCGGCGGGGAAGGGGGAAAAGGGAGCCTGGTGTTTTCTCTTGCCCGCTGGGTTGGCTGGGTTGTATAACCTCTAAACTACTAGTCTTTTTCGTGTATAGCAAAGCAAACCCGCGCTGCTGTATATATTCGCTGCTGCTGCTGCTGCTGTTGCTGCTGCTGCTACGCTTGCCGGACGAAAGGACGTTGCTTGGAATTTTAGAGAGCGCGGCCTTTGGTCGGGCGATGTGTGAAAGGGACGGCTAATTGTTACTTCTCAACATGAGCATGGTGATGTGAATACGATCAGATTTCTTGCTGCTTGGCTGTTTTTGCAAGGTGTGGGTGATGTGCGTGAATGTTGTTTTGTGTGGTAGTTTCGGGTTGTTATTAAGAGTATATGTGCCTTGGCTTATTACCTTAACCTACCTAGGTACCTACTTATAAATAACCTCGGACGTCCTATAAGTCGGTTCGGGTAGGGGACTTGGAAACCCAAGTGTCATCAAAATTGTTCGACTTAAAACGAGGGACTGTTAATTCACTAGCAACGAAACTAAATCACGCCAAAAGTTGTCTACGAAGATAACCAGCTTTTGGCAATGAACTTCGTATTTATCGCTTTATGGCAGTCTAATCGCTAATAGTAGCAACACCCAAAACGATCGAGCACCAATCCGACACTACCCAGTAAGTTACAAACATAATCCCAAATCCAACATCCCAAAACGACAAGTAGAACGTCATCTCAAGCCGACGCTTTCGCCTAAGCAGAACCGAGAATATTCTTCTCGTACACGGATGCAAGTTTGCCCGTGTTGTCGTTTTGAATCTATATACACCAACCCAACCCGTTAGCACTACTCCTCCCTAGGTAGGTAGTATATGGAAAGAACAGGGATAAGTTAAAGGGGTCATATGGGGGAACAACGTACCTCGTAGCGCGGGTCGTCAGAGCTAGCCTGGACGTTGCGATCGGCCTGGACGCCGGGCTCAGTAATCACATCGATGATCTTGCCCGTGCTCTCCGAGGTGTTGGAGTCAGGGCCGCCGACGGGCTTGTAGCGGACGGTCTGGCCGGTCTTGTACTGCGGCATGGTGGCTATGTCGAACGAGTGCTGACTAAGAGTTGGGCTGAAAATTGCTGTGATGATAGCCGTTTTCGTTGATTGTTTGATGAGTGTGTTATTGATGTTGATGTTGATGTTGATACAGTAATGTTTCTAAGGACTGAGAGAGAAGTCGTCGAAGACAAACTCGACTCTTTATATCCTCGCCAAACCCCAGCAGGAACAAAGCGGTGAGATTATCGATATTCAGGAGTCGTCCGTCATGAAGTCATAGACGTGCGTCGTGATGAGACTGATTTCGTAATCCTGATATCAAGACTCGGCGCACTCATCGCGATGAAGAATCGTGGCTTACAGGGGCGCCGCGTGTCTGGGTCCAGTCCAGGGTGAATTGGACATCTATCACAAAGGGGACCGTGCGAATGTAGTCATGATATCGCAACGTGTGGGATACCGTGACGACCGCCGGGGTCAAAGCTCCGCGCGACGGGTAAGAGGTAAGTAAGCATCTCGATATAACTCGTTATAATACATAGTGATAAACGAGTTACAGTGAGCCGAATCCATCAAGGCCGTTTATATCGTAGCAAATACACCGTGCTACGGTGTCGACCGTAGGGCTGAGAAGGGGGCACGGGCCCGGGCCGTTGCCGTTCCTGGGGATGGATGTCGTCAGTCCGATGTCATCAGCATCATTCTTCAGTATGTAACTCTGAAACATAACTACCCTTACGTTTCTCTTTCTGGTAGACTATTGCTGAAAGGGCAAAGGGTAAAGGAGCTCGTCACGTTGGTCTACTTCGATGATGATAATACCTACCTAGAACGATGATCAGAGTTGACGTTTACACGTCTCGATCCCTGTTACTGTACCTTACCTCCTCTGCTACTCCACGTTACCTCGAGAGATAACCAATGCAAATAATATGGGGTCCAGGGTTACTCCCCTTAGCATCTCGATCCGGGAATTCGGATCGACTTCTTAGGTCTGTCATACAATGACGCTTAGTTTACCAAATCAGGCGTCGTTTTCGAAGCTTGAGCCTCACCAGACGAGGTATCTGTCTCTTGCATTAGCTATTCGAACCAATACACAGTAAGAATCAAGTATCCCACCGTTAGAGTTGCTTCATTAGGTATATAAAGTGACGCGGAAGCTTATCAATCGGCGGGTAGAGTAACAACCGTGGCCAAAAGGGGTAGAAGGTAATGTTCGGCGATAAAGCCGTGGGTATCAATTAACATAAGTTGGCTATCTCGGCTAACTCCAAGGTATTCCATAATACCATCAAAACCGACACAAACCATCACCCTCCCTACAACGTATTACCATGCTTAAAGGACCAAATACTTCTCCCCGATCCCCTTAATAGCCTCCACGTCACCACCCGCCCAGTAAATCTGCTGGAGATTATACGCCGCCTCCTGAGTAAGGTTGTCCCTGCCCATGATGCCGTTTCCGGAGTCGTCGGGCACATCCTGGAGTACGCGCTGGTAGTACTCCACGGCAAGATGCGGGATGCCGATGGCGTGGTAGCTGCGCGCGAGATTGTAGTGGGCTTCCTGCCTCTGCGCCGCGCTCGGCGAGGCTACTTTGAGCTCGTAGTACTGGTGTAGAAATAAGAAACCTTGGGTTAGGAGGAATTGCCGGTTCTCGGCTTGCCTCTTCAATGCGTAGTGGACATAGCAATGACCCACGCTAAGAATAACCATACTGTTGGTCGGATCTAGGGTATAGGCTCTCATGAAGTAGTCTATAACGGTGTCAGTATCCTAGTAGCCTACAAATCGACAGATCATTATGGGTATCTTTTTACTCACTTAATGCGTAAGTAAAGCTGTTCGATATGAACAAAATGTGTCCGTAAAGCATTAGCAACGTGATGTCCAACTCCTTACTTGGGTATACCCTGCCGCTAGGTACACCTTCTTCGTCCCCGCTGTCTTCAGCCCCTGCCGCCGCGGTAATAGCGCGGTCCATGAGCTTGATCTGTCGTAGCATATACTTCTGGACGGGACCAGAGGCATACCATGATGCTGGCGATGGACATAACCTGGACAAGGTAGAGAACATCCGGAAAGGATCTGTATCATACTGATACTCCCTCATGAGCCAACGAGCTGTGGCTACACACGTCTCCTCGTCTCTACTACGTAATGCGCATGCTGTATTGTATTAGCCATGGTCCGTCTTACAATTCGAGAGGAGGATCTTACCAGCCCATGTTACGTGTATTAAGAACACGTCCTCCTTAGACTTAGAGAATATCGTGGTATCGCGAGCAGATTCGCATACTTTATAAGCATCCTGAAATCTCCCGACTTGGGCCAGACCGATGGCATATTCGAGGAAAAGATCAAGCCACTCAGCAAAGGAGACGCCTCGATAGCTCACGGCTACCTTGACCTGCTTCTCGGCGCCAGAGTCCTCCGGATTTAGGTCTATATTTGGATTAGTATAGGCTCGTTACCATTTGGACATACAACTTACTGTTGGATAGACGCTCTGCCATAGCTAGAAGGTTTGGGTTTCCTTTTCGGGCTTCGACCTTCTCGCGGGCCTGATTTATGCCAAGATGCGCTAGATACTTATCCCAACTATAGAAATCCTTGTACGATCTAAAATCATCAACAAGGAGTCGAGCTGCGGATAAAAATGCATTGGATGGGCCATTAGCATCAGCTTCAGTCGAAACCCGTGAGTCACGCACGACCTTCCATGCTTCGGATAGTTCGTCCGCCCTTCTCCTCTCTTCCAATTGCATTTCATCAGTGCGACCAAACACCTTGCGCCGTCTCCTTGATGGATCTGGTTGTGCTCTAGGTCTGCGTTCCTTCGGCTTTGACTTCGGTTTTAGCTTCGGTTTCTCGCCCTTTGGTTTGAGTAGACGCTTGACTCTCTTTGGGTTTGCACTTATATCTTCTCCAGTGACACGCCCCAATGCAGTTTCGAGTAGCGAAGTATCATCGTCTGACATCCGACCTTCATCATTATCCTCTCCCAAATCTTCGTCGTCTCCACGGGCCTCTTCACGAGCTTGATCGTGGGCCTCCTGTAGTTTTATGGCTTCATTTACAAGGATATAAGCCTCTCTTTCTTCTCTTGCGGCTTCGTACATCTTTGCTAATTCGTAGCGTGCATCGATGCAAGCCTCGCTATTAGCTTCATCCTGATCGATGGCAGTTGTAAAACATTCTTCGGCCTGTCTTTTATCTCCCGCGTCCAAATAACACTGACCTGCCCGGATAAGAGACTCGGTATCAAGAAGGTCAGGTTCTCGGAGCGGTTCATAAAAGCGTAAGGCCATGGGCAGGCGACCCGCCTCGTACAATGCTGAAGCTGCATCAATCATGAGATGCGAATGCTCTAGGAGTAGTTCAGGCGTATTGAGAATATCCGGATCAATAAACGCTAAGTGACGCTGATATATGTTAGCTTTCTTAATAGCAACACTAGAGTATGTAGTCTTACCATAGCTTCATCCTCTTGACCAAGTTTGAGGCGATACACAGCAAGTTTTGCTCTTAGTTCCAGTGGAAGACCCTTGCCGTAAGATGAAGCAGGATACTTTCCATCCTGATACTCTTCTACTTCTAATCGCCGCGTGCTATCTTCATCCCATTCGCAGTCATCCCCTTGGTTATCCCAAAACGTCTCATCCGATCGAGTTAGGAGCCACCTTGATAATGATCTTAGCTCACGAATAGCATCCTCAAACTGTTCAATATACGCAAGAAGTTCGACGAAGATTTTGATGTCTTGCCAGTCAAAGGGATATTGAAGGTCGAAACCATTTCCTCGAAAGTGGGCAATACAGCGTCGATATGCCTCTATGGCCTTTCCAGGGCCGTCCGCAAACCGGGGGTTTCCGGTGTCCGCAAGCAGAACATATATTTCAGCGTAACTACGGATGGCATATATATCGAACGGGCACTGCTCAACTAAAGCGGCATAGTCCTTGACTGCTGACTTAAGGTGGCCCATTTCAAAACGTACCGCGGCCCTCCCATGACGTGCTCCGCTATGCTTGCTGTCGATTCTTAGGGCCCTCGAGTAAAGCTTGTCAGCGTTGTCGAGATACTCATCTGCCTGTTCTGGAGATTCCTCTCGAAGGGAGATGGCTAGCTCTGCGCATTGAAGCCACTCGTCTATGATTTTTGGCTGTAGATGCGCGGCGAATAGCCGTGCATGGAAATGACCCTCTCTATCACCTTTCTCCTGGCGTAACGAAGCCAGGAGAACCCAAGCCCGATAAGTCTCAGCATTTATACGAATAGCATCATTTACAAAGTCGATGGCTTCATCAATACGCCCATCCATGTACGCATTTGATGCCATATTAAGGCGATATTTAATATCGCCAGTTGGCTCGGCAGCCTTCCGAGGTCCTCGCTTCTTAGCGCCTCGGCCACCGTGGCCACCTCGAGGACGATCTGGCTTGACATCAGCACGGAGGTACTTTCTGATGAGCCCACGCATAGGACGGAGTTTTGGCATGGGATTTTCCGAGTTGAGGTGATTCTGTCGCTCTAGAAGCGCGTCGGTAGCGGAATCCATCGGATCTGCTTCGTCTTCTACAGCCATCACTTGGATCGTTGTGTTGACTGGCATGCTGTGTGAGCCGCCTGCTGAGCTTTGCGACTGGGGGAGACTTCCCTCATTACGAGGAGCCCCTAGGGGTGGATAAGGGTTTGGTACATCTCTCGACACACTACTCAAAGGAAACCCCCAGCCTTGTGAGTTAGCTGTATTAGGATGAACAGGCGGATGCGGATGCATCATAAATGGTGTTTCTTTCCTTAGAAGAGGTCGAATCTCCCGGGGTGGATAAGGTTGAATTGCTGGATAGCTCGACCTAGGCATAGAGACATTGCTACTGAGTTGTGGCCGCAACGCTCCCGCAGCTGTATTTGGTAAAGGGTGAAAGGCATTTTGCATATGACTTGGGCCGGTGCTGAACCTCCCGTACTGGGATGCATCTGGGGCAATTTGAGAAGAACTTGAGGGTTGTGTCTGTGGAGGCGGCGGGATTGTGCTTCCCGGATGAGGATTTGTTGAATTTGGCTTGTCTGACTTTTGAGTGAAGTGTGCCTGGAGGGCGTCAAATGTAGACGAAAATGGATGACTCATGGTGAGATAATAAAGTGCCGCATAAGTTTCTTGTGAGAGGAAAAAGGAGAACGGGATGGCGTCTTGGTTTACCTAGATGGTCTCAACTAGAAGGAGGCCGATGGCACGCAGCGTGTTTAGAACGAGCTAACCCCAATCAGTCGATATGAACAGCGG